TTTTATTTTTTAATGTGTTTTGCAAATGAGAATTCGCCCTATTATATAGAAATGGAGGCTACCATTTGAATATGCGTGTCCCTTGAAATGATTGAACGCATCTGTTGGAAGAAACGTACATATTCAAAGACTTGAAAATAAAATTCGCAAACACGGGGGGCGCTACCCTTGCGACCTGACCAGACAGGTCTATCCCCGTTGCGTAGCGGCAAACACTAGTCGGGGAGGCAAAATATTCGCAAAACAAAAGATGAACATGGAAAATGATGAAAAAATATCTAACTAACTCTTACACTGGAAGATTGTCCAAGTGATATCCATCAAAGCCAAACTCACTTTCTACTGGCCCAGTGCCTTCCTGTTGCTATTTCAAGAAAATATTTGAATTAGTAAAAAATAAATGCAGTCAATTGTAAGTCATGTTTGAAATTTAGAAAAAAAAAAAAAAAACCGCACCATGGTTAGAAATCAAGAGGCTTACTTGATCGAGAATTAAGCTCAAAAGATCCTCCTGACCAAACTGTTCAGTAAATAGGGTATTCTGGAAGCCATATCAAGGAATTTTTGGGGCTTAGTGTATTATCAGCGAGGGATGAGTTAAGTCATTGACTCATATTTGAATGTTGAGTTTGGTTGAAAGACCAGTCAAACATTATACAAACCCCAATCTTGGGATCTATTCGGATTCAGATTGGCAAAAACACTATAATTAGCAAGGAACTTGACCTCTTCTTGAAGAATCCCTTTAGATGCCAGAGTAGACATCTTTGGGTTACTCGTGTTGGATAAATTGGTGCATAATTTATAATTGACAATTAACTTTTTTGCGTGTAAAATACCGTATAGAATTTCAACTTACCCACACCAAGATAAGTACATGAAAATATGATCAAGTCGTGACTTATTGAAATGTAGAAATATAAAAGATGAAATGAAGCGATGTATGCAATTGTAAGTTTGCTTAAGACAGATTTCGCCTCCTGTGTTGTTGTTAATAGGATCGAATGGACATTTGTCTCCCGAAATAATATGCTTCTTCCAAAATTAATATAACGCAATATTAATTTTGCTGACCGAATCAAATATTGATTGTACTCTTTTAGAACGGAAGATATCGAATGCTAAATATCGAAATGAAACTCGAAAATAATTTTAAAATTATTTTAACCTAATTTGGAAAAGGAAATAATTAGAAATTAATTATATGGAATTGATTTGGAGTAAATAAAATGGAATTAAGAGGGTCATATTTATAGATTTTCACGTGTCTCTTCCTAATGATCGTATTTTTTTGGACACAAATTCATTTAAACCATTAGATCATACCTTTTCATATTTAATGGTGTAGATTATATTCTATCAAAAGGTACTTTTCATCATGCAACTTTTTGCAATGGAAGAGTTTCGACTAGTCATCCCACCAATTGAAGACGTTTTCATAAAAAAAAATTAGTTCACCTTTTTAGTGGAACCAAATAACTTAAATCACTTAATTTTTGTTGTTGGCACAAATTCATTACAACCATTAGATCGTCCATTTTTCATATTTAATGGCGTAGATTGCATTCTATCAAAATATTATGACTTTTTATCATGCACCTTTTTGAATAGTAATATCCATTTCGAAACAACACAACTCTTTGATATGCAACTTTTTGCAATTGAAGAGTCTTGACTAGTCATTGCACCAATTGAAAACTTTTTAAATTTACATCTATAAAAATTTTAGTGCACTTTTTAAGTGGAACAATCAACTTAATAATTTTAGTTGTTGGAGTCCTGATGGATCACTTTATTGATTGCGCATTTTGGGTTTTCATATTGCAAAAGTTGAGCCTTAGGTCCACTCAAGATTCATGGGCCTTATTTGGATCAGCTTGAGAAACGATCTTCGAGATAACTTGGGATGGCTACCTGACCCAAAATACCCGAGTCGTCCCAACTGGGTGGCGGGACAGTGTAGGAGCAGGGGCACCACCCCACCCCACTCCACTTGTCTTGTTATTTAAAAATAATTTAAAATCACTTTAGCCCGACTTTTTGATGCTCAAACTAGAACCGATTACCTAAGAACGTAACGTTACAACAATTCTTAACATACCCTAGAGTTTACTAAAAAAAAATAAAAGGTTTTAATGTTAGAGCATCTCGGGTGCAACCATGAACTACTTGAAAAATCGCCATATAAGCGAAAGAGAAAATTTCGTATGTAAGAGATTATGTATTGTCCATTTCAAAATTAAGAAACAAAGTTTTGAAATTTTAAAAATTAGATATTAATTATATTTTATTTATGAAATAATTAATTAAAAATATATTTTATTAATGAAATAAATTAATGTCACAATTCTATTCTATTTGGTCACAAATTACTTATGGATCATGAATAAAAAAATTTATAGGTATCAAATTATTTCATGGTCACAAATTAAAAAAATTATAGGTCATAATTTATTCATCAGTCACAAACCAAAAAAATTATAAGTCACAATATATTTATCAGTCACAAATGACAAATTTTATAAGGGCCTGTTCGGTACAACTTAAAATTCAATTAAAATTGAAAATATGGCCGTTATTGGGTCCCACTCGTCTAATAAAAGTCAACAATAACGGCTAGTTTTTCAATTTTAATCCAATTTTAATCTCTACCGAACACGCCCTAAGTCACGACTTATATTTTTAGGCCACATATTATTTAGTGGTCACAAATTCAATTTATAGATCACTAAATATTCAATTTATTAATCACAATTTCAAATAATTGATTACATATTATTTATTGATCACAAATTAAACAATTTATTTGTACAATCAATCAAATAATTTGTAATCACACCATTGACCATCACCTTACCAACGCACTGCACACAACACCGCTGTCAAACACAACCGTCAGAACCACCACCATCAACTCCCTACAACCGATCAACACTACTCAACACTACACATCCACTAGAGCCAACACCAATGCACATAGCACCGCACACAGCACCATACCCAACCACTGGTCAACACCACTGCACAACCACCAGAGCACTGTACACCACCACAACACATTACCACCGTACCTAACCCAACCACCGCACACAGCACCCCAACCACACAAACGTACCCAACCATCGAACCCAACCACCACATCGCACACCACCACTACACATCACCATACGTAACCACACAACCGCACCCAACCACCGCACACAGCACCACCGAACCCAACCACCACTACACCACACCATCACTATTGACCTATGATTTAATATAGTTCCACATGTTTTAATTATAACAAACAATACACTTATATTTTTAACAAGTTTTGTTTCTTGAGTTTTTCATAAATATATCTTCTTAAGCATTGAAAGAGTCAAATCGTCATTCGTTGAAGAACAAACAATCAAATGAGACTCGAAGAGAACAAGAACAATAGCTTTGAAGATAAACGTTTGGAAGTAGTTTATTGGAATTTAAATGTAAATGTATTAACATTTCGATTCTTAGTAAATGTATAAAACTCAAATTATTTTGATAATTTATCACTTGTATAAAAATGATTTTCACTCATAGTATGAAATAGATTTTGAAAATGAAATTAAAAAAAAAAGAAGTCAACTTTTGGTCAACCAAAATTGTTGATTTTTTGGTCAACCGAAATTGTTTGATTGTCAGCCAAAATTGTTTTAAGAATTTAGATCAACCGAAATTGTTTAAATAATCAACCGAAAAATCAATCTCAAATTTCGGTCAACCGAAATTGTTGGTCAACCGAAATTTCAAATTCCAACTGTCCTATTTTTCAACAGCTTTATTTCAATTTCGGTCGACCAAAAGAGCTCAGCCAAAACTGCCTGTATCTTCGTATTTTGCTCTATAAATAGTCATCTCTTTTACATTCAATACTACCAACTTACGGGAGATTTTTAAGAGCTTACTTATTGTGAATCATTGAGATTACTTGAGTCTAAATTCTATTTCATTTATTACAAAAGAGTTTCTTGATTGATTCAACTTATTTCATTTATCTTATCAAGAAATTTTTTTAGCAAAGAACTTTTCATAAACTTCATCTATTCTTCATTCTTGATAAAAGTTTTCTTTAACAACATTTTGATTTGAAGTGTAAATTTCTCTTCATACTTAATTTGTATTATTTGTTAAGAAAGATCATTGGTTTGAAAACTTTGATACAAAAATTCAAACTACTTCATTATCAATTAGTTCATCAAAATTTTCTTCATAAACACTTGAGCTTTGTTACTTGCTATTTATTGAAGTGTTATCCTAATTGTCTAAATACTTGATTTGATTATATCATTTGTTTAGAGAGTTCTTTCAATTGTAAAAATTATCATTTATACTTTGATGGTTTCGAGAGCCTTGTGAAAACTCGATTGTTGTTAAGGATATGGACTCTTTGTTATAAGTCACCTAAGGATAAGTGTTCCTTATTGTAAGTCACTTAAGGATAAGTGCTCTTTGTTTGTAAGTCACTTAAGGATGGCACTCCTTGTTTGTAAGTTACCATTATAGTGCATTTGACCTTACTCATGACGTAGAACATGATAACGGGGATGTAGAACATATTGTATATCGAACCCCATTAAATTGATTTGTTATCTTTACATTATCGCACATTACTTTGCATTGTTATTTAATTGTGCTATATCTATACTTGAATTTAGTTATTGAACTTGCATATTTAATTCTCATATCATACTTTGCACTTATATCTTGTGTGTTAAATAGTTTGGAGACTAAGTGTCGAAAAAGTTTCAAAAACTAATTCATCTCCTTCTTGGTTAGTTATTCTTGGGTTATCAATCGCAACCTCAAATTGCATCACACACCTCTACCATAACCGCAATCGCAAAACCAACACACCACCACCTCACCACTCAAAAATTAAAAAAAAAAATAAGAAGAAAGAAGAAGAATGGATCTGCACTGTGTGTAACAGCGATGCGCTACCACGGAAGAAGGAAAGCAGCCACCACTATGCCGTGATGTACAGATCACCGCAGCTGCTGTACCTTTGCCACGCCTACCGTGTTGCTTCGTGCAGCACCATTTACTACGGTATAACGCGACAGTGGTGTGAGGGAGGAGAGCGTCACGCACAGAGGCTGCGCGATGCTCGTCGTCGGTGAACACTGTCAGAGAGAGGAGAGAAGGAGATAGAGAGAAGGGAGAGAGATGGCTGTTTGAGATATAGAAAGAAGCAGATACAGAGAAAATGAGGGAAAATTTAGGGTTTGGAGGAGTGAGGTAGGGTGGATGGATATAGTATTATTATTTATATTGAATTATCTTCTAATTTTTCTATATACAAACTTCAAATCTGAATTTTGAGATAGTAACTTAAAAAATCTGATTTTATGTAATTTTCACGTAAGCGAAAGTAGACAATGATTAAAACAAAATCCATCTCCAATGCAATAATATGACCTAGCTAATTGCAAAGAAAAATAGACATTGTGAAGATGTTTGTTTAAATGTAGGAGTTATATTAAATAGATATCAATGCCACGTAAACTAGAAGCCGTTCAGTTTAATGCCACTTATATAGCAATTCATGAAAGCATTTGAGATGCTATTATTTTGAGGTTCTTCGGGTTTTCTTTTTGCCACAAGAAAATTTAATTTCCAATTGTCTAAAACTTCTATCTCATTTGCTCGTTTCAACTAACTTTTAGACCAGCGAAGCAGGTCTCATGTAGATGTAGTGATGTCAACGAGCCAAATCGATCCGAGCCCGAGCAGAAAAAAAAAGCTCGAGCCGAGCCCGAGCTTTTTTTGGCCCGAGCCGAGCTCGTCCAAAAAAAATGAGGGTCGGCCTGAGCTTTTGGCTCGAGCCTTAACGGGCCGAAAAATAGATGCCTTCCAATTTTTATTTTTTTATTTTTTTTTTATATAGGAGGCTCGCCCAGGCTACGGGCCGCCCCGGGCTGGAGCTGACTCCCCAAAGTGGGGCTCGGTTCCACAGAGCCCGAGCAAGGCCCGGCTCGGCTTTTTTCCGAGCCGAGCCCGATCCGTCCAAGTTTTCGAGCTTTTTTGCCACCGCTATGTAGATGGAAGTGTACAATTAGAGTAAGTTTTGCTAACCTCAAAAAGAAGGTAAAAGTTTAAAAAATCTGCCCAACCCAACCCAACCCAACCCAACCCTTTCCTCTTTCTCCTTTCTACTTTATCCCAAACAATTAATTTTAATCATGAGATACGCAATTTTTATCAATTTTTCAATCACGTATTTTTGTCAAACAATCCCTTAATAGAATGTGTGCGTAGTTGGAAAGGCATGGCTAAATTGAAGTTGAGTTTTTGGGAGTCTTCGTAGTTGAAGGCATATAATTTCTTGTGTGGGATCAGGCATAACTTATAAGTACAGCCTGTCTCCATTCAGGCTGGACCTTTATATGATCATTCACAAGAAGCAAACAAATGTTGTGGGGTTTTATTATATAACACCTACCAGTCTAGTCGGTTAATTATAAACCGCCTATTCTCTACATTTACTTTGAAGGTAGTCTAGAAAATATAATGATCTTGAAATGGGAGTACAGAGGCATGGTATCCAAGGGGTTACAAATTCATAAATCAAGCTTTAGTTCAACGATGGGAGATACAATTAGAGTCTTTATATTCCACCCCATTTCAGAATCGAGCTCAGATAGCCGTATCGTCCCATCCATAACATGGGTCATGCTCGCAAGTGTGTCTACTCTGACATCAATTATAACAATTACATTATGCAGAACGCTCCTTTTCAAGCGTGTTCAAGTTATTTTAAAATAACCTAACCTTAGCTTAACCAATTGGATACTCACAAACTTGCTTCATGGATGTTTAGATAAGAACTGCATGCATATCCATCCATACATTTATCAAGATTATACCATGCTCAAGATCTTAGTGCCATAAATTAGTTGGTTGGGGCTGGACAATTTTCCAACGGCCATCTTAAAGATTGGCCAGAGTGTTTTTCCCTAGTGTAGAGGCATCCACTTCTCAATCTATAAATACCACAAGAAATCCACACCATCAATCGCATCACAACTTAATCTAACTGTCCACTTCTTTCTTCTTCGACGTCTTTATTGAAGATAAGTTGATCGTGGGTGCTATTACCATCGCCGAGGAATTTACCAGCCCCCGTCTCTGCCTCGAGACCGTTCAAGGCCTTGATCTTTGATACATCGAACCTCATTCCCAAGATTGTCCTCAGGTCAGGAGGCCCTGGATCTATTAAGAAAGTGAATTTTGCTGAAGGCCTGACACTAAATCTACGAACTTTTAAATTCCTATAACATTTTTAACTCGATAACTTATCAGTTAATTTCTTGTTTATTGTCCACTTGACATTTACAGGTAGCGAATTCAAGTACGTGAAGCATAGGATCGATGCACTAGACAAGGAAAAAATGACTTACTACATTGATTGAAGGCGATGCATTGATGAACATACTGTAGTCGATTTCTTATGAGATAAAGATCGAATCCACTCCCGAGGAAGGATCCAAGGGTAAAAATATTAGCACATATAATACTAAACCAGGTGTCGAAATTAAAGAAGAGGATATTAAGGCTGGTAAACAGAAGGCTGCTGGTGTGTTCAAGGCTGTGGAAGCTTACCTCTTGGCAAATACTGATGCCTATGTTAATTAGTGGTGACTCGTGACATTTATGGCACAAATCCTTTCAACGTGTGCTCTTTCAGCTCGTCTTATTGGTTCCCCATGCCAGAATTTACATTCTTGGCTGGATTCCGATGATAAAAATGATTTTCGTCTATACATGAGTGTGCGCGTGAATATATGAAAATACACAATTCCAAGACATTCTAGTTCTTGTACAATAATCATGATTGCTGGGAAATGTGCATATAAACTCGACAATTCACACAGAATATAAAGAAATTGGACTTGTTGATCTGTATAGAATACCAAAAATTTAGTAGACAATTGAGTTGTGATCGAAATCCTATTAAAAGAAAGGAATTTGCACTACTCCGAAACTAAAATGCTAGCATACGAAAATTTTGTGTCCGCCATAGCTTATAACTATCAATATGAAATTTCAGTTTAGAGACAATCTGCGTCTCTGGCTGACGTAAGAGGATATGGACAGTGAAATCAAAGGTAATACGTGAAAGTAAATGCCAAGTTAGTTAATATGGGAAAAGCAACTATGTATAAACAAAAAGCAAGTCGCTTCCTATCCCCCTCAAGCGTGTTGAAAAGTCAAAAATAAAAAAGATAAGACTCTGACTTTTGTGATACTCACTCATAAACTTCAACTTCTTCTCAGTATCTCTCAAAGATCTCCATTTGATTCCTTCATCTTTGCTGTGTAAATCCAAGGAAATATGGGTGTTGTTAAGGTTTCTCAATCTTTCAAAACAAAAGTCACCCCAGATAGGATGTTCAAGGCCTTGATTCTTGATTCACACAATCTCTGTCCCCAGCTCATGTTCTCATCAATCAAGAGTATCGAATATCTTCAAGGAAACGGAGACGCCGGAAGCATCAAACAGTTAAACTTCACTGAAGGTTAGTCAAATCATCTGATCTACATATAGAAATTCGATCTCTCAATCCAGTTTCCGGCCTACCCTACCAAACTTTACGTTAATGGATCGGATTTATGTGTTTTTAATTGCAGCTAGTCCTTTTAGATATGTGAAGCATATAATTGATGACCTTGACAAGGAAAAGTGGTCGTGTAAATTCACTATGATTGAAGGGGATGCACTTATGGACAAGCTGGAAAAAATCACTTATGATGTGAAGTTTGAACCATATGGGTATGGTGGATGTGTGTGTAGGATTTCAAGTGAATATCATACAAAAGAGAATGTGGAGATCAAAGAGGAAGATATTGAATTTGGGAAAGATAGGGCTATTGGCATGTATGAAGTTGTGGAAGCCTATCTTTTGGCACACCCTCGTGCATATACTTGAACATCTCGATGTTTGTTTGATATTTTATTGTCCTGTTTCCCTTTTTTTTACTTCTCCTTGATGTTGAAATCAATTTCTACGGTTGTTGTATAAGCTAAATTTGATGTCTTTGATTCAAATAATTGATTTATCAGTTCTATATAGATTGTTATGAATCTCGTTGACAAGGTTTGATTCGTCTAATCTGCTAAAGACGTAAATTTTGCCAAGGTTTAGATTGCATCCAAATACTATTCTTTTTTATGTGGTCTATGGCCAGAAATGTTAAATGGAGCTGGGAGGAAAATATTTAGTAATGGTTTGACATTCATTACTTTTTTTATGGTTTACTACAAGACCATTTTCAACCACACATTCACACAATAAATTTTCTCAACTATGGGCCCGCATTGATTGATAGTATGGGTAAGACTTTTAAAGTATTAATAAATTCCCATCTTACCCTCAATTACAACAGAGAAGAAAAATAATGTGCAATTATGAACGAAATTATGAAAGTGAGGGTGTAATGATCCTTTCAATTCTTTCTTTCTTTTTCCTTGTGTACTTGCAAGATAAAATTGGTTGGCACGTCTTCCTCTCATCTTAAATATTTTTCAATTTATATGTAAGGTAGAGAATAATGTCAAATCCCAATTTACGGGTAATTAAGAGCCTAAAAATGGACTTTGGCACAAAAATAAAATAAAATAAACTAACCAAATTAGTGGTCAAGAAAGGCTTAAAGTAGGAAAAAGAAAAAAAAATCTATTCATCAAGTCTCCAAAGTAAGGCCGCCCATGTTGAAAAGATGTAAGAAGTTCGAATGAAATTTCCCAAGAAATACATTTTCCAACTAGCTCTATATATATATATATATATAGACAAATGGAATTTTATCCATCACCTATCTTAGCTAAAATCACACGGTTTTATCATGGGTGTTACAAGAATCAATCAAGAATTTGGCAGCCCGGTGGCAGCACCACGCCTATTCAAGGCTTTGATCTTGGACTCCAACACCCTATTACCAAAGCTCTTACCCCAATCCATCAGAAGTGTTGATACATTACAAGGAGATGGAGGAGCAGGAACCATTGAGCAAGTTAACTTCACCGAATGTAAGCAATATACGTGAGTTACGTGCTAAGTGGAAATCGAGTTTGTATTCTATTAAAAGCATGGCATATGCACAAATTTCATAAATACGTGAGATTTGACGGTTTACCATGTTGAAACGCCTCATCTAGAAGTCGTGTCATCGTACACAATCATATTCACATGATTTTAGCATGCCCAATTTTTTATTTATTATATTGTATTATTTTTATTTTATTTGCAGCAAGTCATTTTAAGTTTGTGAAAAATCGGATAGACGAGCTAGACAAGGATAATTTTGTGTGCAAGTACACGATGATGGAGGGCGACGCATTGGGTGACAAGCTTGAGTTTATAGCTTATGAAATCAAGTTTGAGGAAGGCAGCAATGGTGGGTGCATTTGTAAGATGGCTAGTGAATACCATACCATTGGAAATTTGGAGGTCAAAGAAGATGAAATCAAGGCTGGCAAAGACAGTGCCATGGGCATATACAAAGTTGTTGAAGCATACCTCTTGGAGAATCCTCATGTTTATGCATAATTTGATTTATTATTGTAATTTGTGAAATTACATCTCATTATTTTAAAATAATGATCTCTTTCTTGTAACAAGAGATTCCCAAATAGTGGAATTATAAAGCTACTTTCATTTTGTTGACTTTAGCGGATGAATCCCAATCCTCTGCTCTCACTACTTTTCATTTCTTTTCCATTGTCGGTTTTGGATATCCAAACTCAATTCATACAAAGCCAGTTACAGATAACCATCCAAGTTAAAGCAAAATATTCCCCTCAACATTATAGGGTCCAAATTAAACACACAAACTTGGGGAGTGCACCCACGGCACGACACTGACTTCAAAATATCGGCTAATCCGGCTTAACGGTTCAAATTTTTAAATGAAGTATTGTTATTGAGTTCAAGTCTTACCAGCATCCTGCACACGTTGATCATTTGATGAAAATCAATTTGACTTGCACGAAACATCTTAAACTTTTAGATGTGCAAAGGTACCCGCTCAAAAGCAAATTCTTTGTAAGTCCCACGACTTAAAATTACTTTTAATTATTCCTTCTCCATGTACAAATGAATGTGATATATTGATTCTCCATTTAACACTCCCCCCACTCATCCATCCCGCAAAGAACTTTAATTTGTTCCGGCAGCATCAGTCTCCAATCTCCATGTCTCTTCCAGAAATGGAGGTACGTCATAAAACCCATGTCGAATATAGGTACAAATTAATTTACAAAAATCATTTTCATAAATTAGTTTTTCTTTTTTCGTATTTCGAACACATTCTTAATTGAGTTCTTTTAAAATTTTACAAACTGCAGAAACCTCGAGTCACAGAGATACAGGTTCGGATGGACTGCAATGGCTGCGTGCAGAAGATAAAGAAGGCCTTGCAGGGCATCAATGGTAAGTCAATTAATTTCAATCAACAATGCCAATTTTGTGCTTTTATTATTATTATTATTTAATCCGTACTCATGCAAAACATTTATATCTCTCAGGTATATATGATCTCTACGTTGATTTTCCTCAGCAAAAGATAACAATAATTGGGTGGGCAGATCCTCAAAGAATAGCCAAAGCCATTAAGAAAATAAGAAAAAATGCTATCATTTGTTCACATTTAGAACCATCTGATGATCAACTACCTGCTCAACCATCAGAACCAGCACCAGATGGTGGAGCCCCACCACCACCAGAGGGAGGAGCACCACCAGCACCCGAGTCCACTAACCAGCCCACGGCAGAAGCAGCCCCACAAGATGAGGCACCAAAAGAATCACCACTACCAGAAAATCCACCCTCTGAAGCTGCTAATGGTACTCCAACAAACAAGCCTCCAGTTCAAACCTCAAAACCAAAAGAGATTGAAGAAATTCATGAGATACACCACCACGCACTTGATAGACATGGCTACGGTGGACAATGGAATCCACACGGAAGTGCACCGGGATTTATTAGAGTCGAGCAGTCTCAACCCACGTACGTGACTCACAGTTACAATACCTACAAGCCATCACCTTATGCGACCGAATATGCGCATATCAGCAGACCGTCGCCACCTGCCTACTCACAATATTACAATAGTCGTGCAGATCAACACACATACAGTACCGACGAGAATCGTGCTGGACCCAATGGCAATATTACTTCAATTTTTAGCGATGAAAATCCAAATGCATGCAGAATAGTCTAGTTTTAATGGTGAAAAATACAATTACCAAACATTCATTGGCAATAATAATACATTGAAATTAGTGCATATGTTAATATTTTGAGAGATGAGATCGATGGATTGTGAGTGCTCAAAGAATTTATTCTGTGGTGTACTAATGTACGATACAATAGATTCCTAATAAAGCTATTTGGATTATTCTCCTTGAGTAGGACCACCTTGGCCCTGTTCAAACAGGGGCGCTATTGGCAGGGGTCTGTCGAGGTTGCCGTGTTCAAGTGGCATGACTCGAGCTATTTTTGTTTCCAGAATCATAGTCATGGGGAGGTGGATAATCATTTTTTTTTTCCTCTATTCTCTATATTGTAAAAAGGTAAAGAATGATTTTATACTCATAATTTTAAGGGTTAATGAAGAAATCCAATAACGAAGGGAGAATAATGATTTCATTTATAATTTTCTTAACATAAGAAGGGACATGACAAGAAAGAGAGGAAGGAGAAGATCAAATCGAGTTTGGTATAAGGAGTGATAAGTTAAAGAGAAATCTAGAGAGAAAGAGAAGAGAGAAGAGGCTGAAAATTTTGTTATTCAAAATTATACTTGAAGTCTGCCAGCTCAATGTATATGTACACACATCAATACTACCAGCAATTCTAACTGAATGAAAAATGTACAATTACATAAATGTCCTCTGTTTATATATCACAATACTCTCCCTTAAGATGAAGAATGTATGTTTAATACTCCCATCTTGTACAATAACCATTTGAATCGAGCTCTCCCTAAAGATTTTGTTAGTAAGTCAGCCACTTGTTCCTGTGAAGCCGTGTGTAACATCTTCACTTCTCCTGTTTGTACTTTATCCCTAACGAGATGACAATCAATTTCAATGTATTTCGTTCTCTCATGAAACACTGGATTACTAACTATATGAATAGCGGATTGATTATCACAAAATAATGCCGCTCTAGTGTGTAAGATACTTAAGTCATGTAATGCATTCTTCAACCAACTCAATTCACAAACTGCAGTTGCCATATAACGATACTCTGCTTCAATTGAGGACCTTGAAACTGTATGTTGTTTCTTAGATTTTCAGGATATTAATGAATTTCTTAGATAAATGCAATCTGAACATGCCGCCTAATCTGCATCACAGTACCCTTTAAGATGTAAATCTGGTTTGCTCTCAAAGAACAGACCATGTCCAGAGTTCACTTCAAGTATCTCAACACATGATGTGCCGCTTCTAGGTGAGGTTGCTTTGGTGATTGAAGGAACTGACTAAGAACATGTACAAAAAATGAAAGATCAGGTCTTGTTATTGTTAAGTATAAGATCCTTCACACTAGATTTCTGTATATACTTGCATCCACAATTGTTTTCCCTACATTCTTGCCCAACTTCAAGTTATGTGGTAAATGACCAGTTGCTGGTTTGGCTCCAAGGTACCTTGCATATGCTAATATTTCAAATGCATATTTCCTTCGGCAGATAGATATACCTTTTGAAGTTCTTGCGACCTCAATGCCCAGAAAATATTTCAAAATCCCCAAAACCTTTAATTTGAATCGATCATTCAATTCCTTTTTAAATTGTTCAATGTATGATAGATCATTTCTACCTATAATTATATCATCCACATAGATGAGGAGTACGATGAATGAGCAACCATCATGTTTACTAAATAAAGAGTAATTAACCTTTGATTGTTTGAAATTCTGTGAGAGAATATATGAAGTAAGTTTGGTATTCTACTGCCTTGAAGCCTATTTGAGTCCATAAATGGACTTATTTAATTTGCACACTAGTGACCCTCCATTCTCCCCCTGCTGCTCACAACCTAGGGGCATTAACATACATTTCCTCAACAAACTCACCATGGAGAAAAGCATTGTTATTGTCAAGTTGATAAAGATACCATTGCTGTTGAGCTGCAATTGCTAGACGAGTTTTTATTATGACCAGTTTAGCAACAGGAGAAAAAGTTTCTTTATAGTCAAGGCCAGCTTGTTGGGTCAATCATTTGGCTACAAGACGAGCCTTCTTCCTCTCCTATTTACCATCTGAGTTAAGCTTGACTTTGAAAACCCACTTACAAGCTACAGGTTTCTTATGTATAGGAAGTGTGGTAACAGTCCAGGTGTTGTTAGAAACAAGAGCTTGGTGCTCTAAATACATGGCCAAGCACCAATTTGGACACTGAGAAGCTTCACCATAAGACTGAGGTTCATACACAGTTGATAGGGCCAGACTGTATTGTCTTTGTGCACGTGACAACATGCTATAATCCAAGTAATCTGAAATAGGATGTTTTTTGCCTGATACAGAACCTTTTGCCACAGATTTTGATTGAAGGATAGGCACTTGAGAGACTAGGCTGCAATGATAGTCTTCAGGGGCGGATCCAGGCATGGGTTGGCCCGGGCTACAGCCCGTGCTCGCCCAAGCCCAGATCCAATATTTGCCATTTTGTTTGTTTAGCCCAGTAAGCCGCCGACCCAGCCTTGTTAATAAAAAATAAAAATTGAAGAAGAGAGAAGAGTCCATTCCCCTTGGTTTTGTTTATCTATGGACTCCGACTGCTGAAGTCGATTTCTCTAGATTCGATTTCGGGGATGGACGGATGGACCACCGGAGGCCTTGGTATCGGATTCTTGCTCATCCTAGCCGTCGGTTATCTCAGCCTTAGCCTACTACTTCGAGCGCCTTTAACTGAAACTGATACTGGGCAATTTTCAAACATATTTTGGGCAATTTTCTTGTGAATCTTGTGATTATTTGACGTATTTTGGAATTTGGATAATCATGTCCAGTTAAAATTCGGCCATTAACCCTAAATAATCGATCCTACAATTTCCATTTCGAAAACCCTAGTACCTCATTCGATTTGCTGGTTTTAGAAATTGTATACTAGCTTCTACTTTTAGAAATTGTATACTGGCTTAATCTCATAGAATTTGATGTTAATCTTATTACATTTTCAAAACCTTAACTAATGCTAAATTATCGTAAGAGATTTTTGGTAATCCCCTAAAACCTGGTTTAGATGGAAAAAAGTAGAAGAACGTGATAGTCAATTTCCATGGTTAAGAACCGACTCTTCAGCTTCTTTTCATTTCACACTTGTTTTCTTCATCCAGGATGTCATTATTACCTCTTTTTTCTTCTTTTTCATCACTGATCTAAATGATATGTGTATACATACAAAATCACAAAGTTTCTATGTTTTTCTGCTGTTATCAATTTTGAATGTCTTAGGAGTACGTCAACTATGTATTAATGCGGAATTCTTCTTCATTGTCTTTCTTCATTGTCAACAGGGGATTTTATCAAGTGTCAACATGATTAATTCCACAGACACGTAGGAAAAGCAAAAGCTTGAATACACCCTGGTAAGTCTAGTTGCTCATCTCGCTGCTTATTACCTTACCGGCAAAATATTGAATTGAATGTTTTCGCCACTTGTTTAAGTTGTTTTGTTGAAATGTTGCCTTATCGGCATAATGATTGTTGTTATTGCCTTACTGACATCATGATTTATTTTTGTTGCATTGTCTGCATAATGTGTTGTTATTGCCTTGCCTATAAGACGAGCCTTCTTCCTCTCCTATGTACCATCTGAGTTAAGCTTGACTTTGAAAACCTACTTACAAGCTGCATGTTTCTTCTGTGTAGGAAGCGTGGTAACAATCCAGGTGTTGTTAGAAACAAGAGCTTGGTGCTCTAAATACATGGCCAGGCACCAATTTGGACACTGAGAAGCTTCACCATAAGACTGAGGTTCATACACAGTTGATAGGGCCAGAGTGTATTGTCTTTGTGCAGGTGACAACATGCTATAATCCAAGTAATCTGAAATAGGATGTTGTTTGCCTGATACAGAACCTTTTGCCACAGATTTTGATTGAAGGATAGACACTTGAGAGACTAGGCTGCAATGATAGTCTTGTAAATAAGAAGGAATTATTTTGGGCCTGCTAGACTTATGGACATGTATGATATGTGGTGAAGTATAAACTATTGGTGGGGTGAAGGCAGAAGAGTTTCCTTAATTGAAGTTACTGAAAGTTGAGGAATAATCAGATGAAAAGAGAACACACTCTAAAGTTGGGAAAATGTCATCAAGATATGAATTTGCCCGTGCTGAAAACAAAAAGAGGATTATACTGTAAAGGAACATCAGACTTTGACAGAGACTTGAGGAGAGCGGGATGATGAAAAAGAAATATTTTTAATAGAAATAGACATATCTGGAAGTGAATGTTGTGTTGGTTTGGAGATTATACAGTTTGTATGCTTTCATGCCATAATGATATCCAAGAAAAATACAAGGTTTGGCCCTGGATCAAACTTTGTTCGATTTCATTTTAGAGTAGAAGCATAACACAAATAGCCAAGGACTCTAAGATGAGTATATGATGGTTTGAACTGATAAAGCATCTCATATGGAGACTTGTCACCAAGAACTGAGGTAGGTGTTCTATTGAGAAAATGTGTAGCAGTGAGGTTACAGTCCCCCTAAAATTGGTGAGGTAAATTGGCTTGAAACTTAATAGCTCTAGCAACATTGAATATATGTTGATGCTTCCTTTCAACCACACCATTTTGCTGTGGTATTTCTATACAGCTAAACTGATGTATAATTCATTTGGAATTATAGAAGTCATTCATGGAAAATTCTAATCTATTATCAAATCTGAGGATTTTCAGATTGCATTGAAAGCGTGTTTGAATTAGATGGAAGAAAGTTTGAATAATAGATCTGGTTTGAGCTTGTTCTCTCATGAGATATGTCCAAGTCATTTGACTGTAATCATCAACAATGGTGAAGAAATATTTTGAATCATCTAAACAAGGAACATAGTAAGGTCCCCAGATATCACAGTGAATGATGTCAAACATCTTCGAAGCTCTTGTCTCACTGCGTGGAAAAGATAATCTATGTTGCTTATCCATATGACAAATAGTGCGATAAATATATTTATTGAATTTAATTGCAGGAACAAATTTATGTAAGATTGAAAATTTAGAAACAGGAACATGTCCTAAACGGCAATGCCAAATGTCAATATTAGTGTTGGTATTAACATTACTCATAGAGCTACAATCAGGATAATCTGTTTTATTACATTGAAGACAAGAAAAGAAACTATGACTCGAATTAGAAAGATCTGCAGAGTTAATACTGGAAGTAACATCAGATGGTTGTGTGAGTTGAGGAGAGTTAAGGGAAAGTTGGCCATTGTGTGAATGATCAGTTTGTTGGAAATGATATAGACTATCCTCAAGTTTGCCTACCCTAATCATCCTTCATGTCAAAAGATCATGTATAAAACAAAAACTGTGTATGAATATCAGGAAGTAAAGATGCTTAAGGATCAATTTGCTAGCAGGTATCAAATTGAATGTGAAACTTGGCACAACTAGAACATTAGTTAAACACACAAAGTATCAGATAACTTTAATGTCCCAACATGTGTCACGGCATCAGTATCACCATTAGGTCACCGCACAGATGCTTTAATAACTGAGGTCATAGTACTTAAATGCTTAATAGAACAAACCATGTGTTCTGAAATTCATGTGTCAATAATCCATCTATTGCCAGCTGTATTAACATTAGAACTAATACAATTTACCTGAGAAAGCAAACACATCAGGCACTGAAGGTGAAAGGGATGGCACTTCTTGAGTTTGTTGATTACAGACTAATAATTGTGCTTGCAACTTTGGCACCAACATAGCCAATATCTATTGGCATTGATCAGGAGTAATGGTAAGATTTGAAAGAGAAATCATCGTGTCTGACTTGCTACCATGAGAGATCTGTCCAACAGTATTAGCAACTGGTGTTTTCCCTTTAGCAAGTCTATGACCAGGAGGATAACCTATTAGCTTGTAACATTTTCCTTTGATATGTTAAAGCATTCCACAATAACTACATATAGGCCTTTTCTTTTTATGATGCTGGTTGAGTGAAGCTAGTCTTTGATTGCCAAAAGATCAGTGATCATTTTGCTTGCAAATGCCGCTACATCAAAACTTTGTTGCTTCTTAGCAACAACTTCCTTCTGCCTCTCATCTTGGAGTATTAGTGCAAAACACCTTATTAAGTGAAGGCAATGGATCCATCAACAAAATCTGACTTCTAACACTAGAAAAATGATCATCGACACCCATGAGAAATTACATAATCTGATCCTCATGCTTATAATCAGAGCTACTGACATTTGGTCTATAGTTGTCCAACTCCTCCCAAAGTCCTTTGAATCGATTGAAATAAAAGCTGACTGAACTATTTTCCTATGAAATCGAAGCAATGTGCTTCTTTAGTTCATAAATACGATCTCTAAGCTCTGTCCTTACAGAATCCTTGTGCATCACACTTGGATAAAGCTCCTTTGGGATGGAATTAAAGATCCAAGATGAAACCACGTGATTGCACCTCCTCCAAGCACTATAAAGAAGATTATCCTGATGCGTTTTTCAATTGATCCATCAATGAACCATTCCTTGTTTTTAACACTAAGTGCCATGATGATCACACGATTCCACGTCGTATAATTGTCATCAGTGAGCACAACAGAGATAAGTTGCATCCATGTGTTATCACCATAGTGAAGGTAATATGGAATATACGGTTCTATTATTTGCCGATTAATAAGAGAATTGACATCTCTTGCAGGCGAGTCTCTTGCAGAAGACTCGATGGATGAATTCAAATGATCGGATTGATTTTGAATATGTGCTTGAACAGATGAATCAGTCGCCATTGCAAGGAAAATTCAAAGCTCTGATACCATGATAAATTGAAGAGAAATCTAGAGAGAAAGAGAAGAGAAAAGAGGCGGGAAATTCTGTTATTCAAAATTATACTTGAAGTCTACCAGCTTAATGTATATATATACATAGCAATATTACCAGCAATTCTAACTGAATGAAAAATGTACAATTACATAAATATCCTCTATTTATATATCACAATAAGGAGCGTTTAAGCGGTAAAGAAAAAGATGAACTGAAAAACTAGACGATGACTTCATCACTTATTCACCATGTTTCATAAGTTACTGAACTTTAAAATACTTTCGAATGGTCATTGAACTTTAGCATGCTGAACTGACACCTCCTTCAAGCTTTATTCACAATTTAGTGACAATTCGAAAGCATTTTAAAGCATGTGATGAAGTGAGTGCAAGACGTAGCCCAAAGCAGTTGTTAGAAACTGCTCTTCTATATTATCATGGAAATGTATGAGCCCGAGTCACCGTGCTGTAGCCCATTCATCAATCTTTAAAGCAGATGATTTGACTGAGGTTTCTCTTCTTACTGAGAGAACATCTAAATCTCTTGTAACGAAGTAAAAAGCAGTAACTTGGAGGTAAACAAGGCAGAATTTCGTTTCTCAACCAGTTAATCAGGACAATATGTATTTGATGAAGAGGAAAATCTCATTCGGGTGGATGAAGTCGCTGCTGCATCCACCCTTGAGGATATCTCCGAGTGTGAGTTGTGGTATGAACTTGAGAAGGAGCTCCAAAGGCCGGAGGACAAGGCTAATATCCAAAACCAGGAAGAAGAAGAGACTGCAGTAACGGAAATAACTGAAGAGGAGAAGTTATTGGCCTGTACAGTTGAAAGCCAAATGCCAATACGTTTAGCAGATGTTTCGGATAATCACCATTTCTATCCCCCAGGGACATTGTATCTATACATTTACCTGAGGCAAGTGAATCAAGTCATGGCTGGCCGGCAGAAGAGCAAGTTGGTCCGATTATCAAAGACTATGATAAATGATCATCATATGCATATGTACAAGAAAATGATGGAACCGCTAATTGAACAACTAGAAATGATATAGATTCTAGTTATGTGGTAGCTTCACTGCCAAATACAAATTATCCTTTCTTTGTTCCATAATGAAAAGGATTCATTCTAATGTGAAATTGGGAATGCTCAAATATTCTGCAAAATAATTTGGAAAATTGAATGCTTATTTTTGGAATCAATTTTCTTTTTCTTTCCATTTATGTAAGTTGTGCTTTAGTGAACCTTCTCAGGCTTGAGGCCCACGGCTCATGGAGTTCGAAGAAGAGAAAAATGTAAAAGCTCATAGAATAATTTTAAAGGTGTCGGGCCATCATAAAAATGAATTTAAGACGTTGTTTTACTTCTTCCATAATTTTACACTATTGCAGTGAAAGGGCGAACTTATATAATGAATTCTGGAGTACATGCTAACAATGCAAGCTTTTATCAGCAACAAAACAGATGTAAATTGGGAGGAAAATGATCACAAATAACAGGAAAATCTAAGGTTCATCTCTTCTTAACCACCATAACGGTACTTTAGCAGTACAGGAGGCTCCTCTTCCATTATGCCCGAACCAGTAGTGGCCAAGTACTCACGAATGGTCGTTTTACGGTCCCCAAGAAAAGTATGATCCAAGAAGTTATCGTAGGCCAGATCACCAAGGTTCTTTGCTGCCAAGACACTGCAAAAAGTAGTTCCACACATTTTTCAGCTTATGTGTAAGCAAAGGGTGCTTTGGACGAGAATAATTGCAGCTAAGCACCATTGACAACTTATTCTTGAGGGATGTAAATTCATCGTCAAAGAAACTAAAATTTCAAATGATACCAAATTCACATAAATGTTACTAAGTAGCACTCACCAGTGCCTGAGATAAACTCGGCAAGGTAAGATATTGTCTACCCAAATTTTGTCTATGCCATATCGTCCATACCGCTGAAAGATCTCTTCGCTTCCTGTCCCAGATATCTCAAAAAAATTTAATAGATATTCAATGATGGCATGAAAATAACAAATGCAATTACAACATATAGGTAATTCATTCAACAGATATTCTATCCCAATAATCCCATCTTCTGAATTAATGGAAATTGTGGCCGAGAAAGAAACATGGTTATAGTCTTAACTTCACACTGACCGGCAGCTCACCTCATTCCAATATTATAAACACAAGGCCGAACTTATTTGCACACAAACTCAAGATAACCATAAGAAAAATGAAAAAAATAAATGCTCATGAAGATGTGAATTAATTACCTTTGCACTTGTTTTCAAAATACTCTTCATCACTATAACGTGCACATAATACCTGCATCAATACCAGATACAATCATTTTTCATTTAAGAGTCAATTATATCACACCCAACCACAAAATAGTCTAATCTTACTCACCGCTGGAGTCGTATAAAACAACCCATTAAATGTTTCTGGTATCACCTAAACATGACAACAAATAATCGCATTACTACTCATCAGTACCGTATCTCTTATATGCACAAATATATGTAAAATTTAGTTAAACGTTATGGAAACTAAGAAATAAGTAAGCCATCACTCACTGCTAAAAACTGGAACTCATGCTTCCTTCCAATAAAGGCTGGTATCTAACTTTGCCAAGCAAGGAAACAAGTTAATAACAGTTTCTCAGGCTCAAAATTTAAATTTTTCTTCCAAGCATCTTATAAGTTATACCTCTGATCTCTGAATCTCAAAAGTAGTAACTACAAGGATTTCACCTTCACATGGCTCCACACTCAAGCTTGATATCTCCTGTAAAAATATACAACTGCATCATTAGGGTGGGAAAAAAACCTAGAAGCTTCACAAAATCATTACAAGTGCGGTGAAAAGTTCAGATAAAATGGAAAATTTCTAATCATCTGAAACATCCATTTTAAAAGGTGAGAAAATACATATTAGAATATCAAAATTTTACTAGATTAACTATTTTAGTTTTCTTAATTCCACTTCTAAATTCCCAATCCAGTGGTGCCAAAGACACCGTTGATAGAGAAATTTATCAAATTTTATAATAATCTCAGCAACCATCAATACAAATGTAAACATCCCTCTATGAACAGTAGCACCTATTCATAATCAGAGCTAATAACCAGTGCAAATAAAACACTGAGTTATCAAACATCCTGGTTGATTCCCTAGTTTTCTGTTCTAGTTGGNTGGTTTAGCTATGCCATGATCGAAGAAAATCGGAGCAACATGAGCAAAAACTCTCCGAAAGCCACTCAATTTCGTCATTCTGAAGTTTATCAAGTGCGGAAATGTACTCCTCGCGCTCCTCTCTGTACAAACATATAAAAACACCAGTCCAAAGACTATATTAAGCCAATATTTGATCCGAATTACTTGAATTTCACTTTTAGCTACAATTTTTTTTTGCCAGCGATATTTCATACTGATTTCATTAATAAGTAAAGAATAAAGTTAAGTAATAACAAAGTCAATTGGTCTGATCTAACGGACCAGAGAGGAGAGAACCGAAACCGCAGATGGAGACAAGACCATCAGGAGAAACAAGTTGATCAAAATCGGATTCCTCTTTGAGTTCGAAAGGGAATTTTTCCGGCGGTTGAGGAATGAGTGGTAGCGGGATGGACTCGCCTGAAGGCATGCCGGAGATTCGATGGAATCAAGAATGCCGGATAACAGGAGGTATGGTCAAAAATGGTCGGAGCGGGGATGGAATTGTTTGGGAATTTAAGGGGTGGAAGGAACGCGGCAATTATTCGCATGCGAAAGAAATGGAGGATTGATAACAGTACACATATGATGCACGTGCCGAAAGGTCAAGCACATATACAATAGCCTTTATGAAAAGTGAAGGACATATTATATTAAAAAAAAATTATTTGACCTTGTGAAAGATGTTATTTGTGTTTTTCATGTTTTTTGGACCATAATAACTGATTTTAGTCACATATTTTATAGAATTCAAAACTTTTAAACAATATATTTCATCAATTTTTATCAAAAATTATTAAAAATTTGATTTTAATCCGCATTATACATCATTACAAATAAAAACTAATAAATAATGTATTGTTACCTCCCAACGAATCGACCATACATATGATTTATCCACGTGACATGGCATATCGCATCATCTCTAGAATGATATTCATGTTTTTAAACTTTATAATGTCCGTACATGTTTTGAAAAGTGTTTACAAATGATTTAAATTATAGATATATAAAAATGAGTGATTAATAAATCATTAGTGAGTATAATTCACGAGTTTCACAAAACACGTGAATAAACAATTTATAAACGTAGTCAAACATACTATAAGATTCAGAGTGATTTATTTTATTATGTCATGTGATTTACGTTTGTACACCTCAGAAGTTGTAATATATGATGCAAGAAAGTGATGTAGCGGAAGTATAAGATTTGGTGCTAATCCATATACATCTAAGATAAAGACATGAACAATTGGTCAAAAAAAAAAATCTATGTCTTTGATTAATAATATTGAACAAAACCGACCATAATGGATGTTGTGATCAGCATGTAAAGAGTTCAAACGGCCGGAAGTTCAATTGACAATCAAAAAGAAAAAAAACTACAATATTCTCCGAACAAATTAAAATTGTATAAAACAAGTAGAATTAAAGAAACATAAAAAGAGGCAACTTAATGCAGTGCTGTACCATTTGCTCATCAGACGCTTTGTAAAGGTAGTACTTGACCTTTTAATTGCGAAGTGTGAAGATGAAGAGTTTATCATAGGAACTTCAGCTGCATTTCTTGTGTGATCCTCGTTATGCTATGCAATTATGTTCATTGCTTCTTTGACTTTTCATGTAGAAATTTCTGTGTATCCTTTCGAAATGCTGGTGCCTCAACATTGTCCTGTAATCAGGGGCGGAGCCAGGGGGGTCCTAGAGTTGAAGGGGTGGGGGCCCACGGGGGTTCGTCCCGAATTTTTTTTTTTTTTAAACATTATCTTTTAAAATGAAGGAAGTTGGTGTTTTGTGATTGAAAAATGAAACAAAAGAACATAAANAGCTTTCCTTTCGAGTTCTCATACTTTGATAACGTTGTATAACTACATCATCATCAATCATGTCGAATACATCCTTCTCAATATACACAAGCAAGCTATCATTTAACAATTTATCATTCATTCGATTGCGCAATCGATTCTTGACATAATTCATTACAGAACGAATCGGGTAAAATTGAATTGGTAGGGTCTAATTTTATTAATTGTGAGGACAAAATGGTAAATAAAAAAAACTTTTTTGTCAAAAATTGGGGGAGGGGGGGAGGGGGTCCGGTCCACCCTAGGACCCCCTGCCTCCGCCCCTGCCTGTAGGGGTGGGCGTGGGTTGGGTTGGGTCGATTTTTGCCCAAATCCAACCCAACATTGTCGGTTTATTCGAATCCCAACCCAACCCATTTATGTGTATGTCGGGTTGGGTTGGTCGGTTCAGGACGACTTGTCGCACAAATATTACAATCATCCAATTTATAGCTTAACATAACATTTTATAGTCATCCAATGTCAATAAACTTGAAAATTAAAATAGTACAATCCATCAAATATTAATCAAAATAATTATAAGAAAACTATTACAATTTCATTAAAACGATTACACATTTCATGTAAACGGACCACAGTAGCACATTAGGCTAGCATCTTGAAAACTTTTTAACTCATTTGCCCTTTATTATCTTCATTCAGTTGTGAATTTATTGATTCTAATTCTACAAAAAAAAAAACTAAAACCAAATTGTTAGCTATTAAGAAGAACGATCAGAAGAAGAAGAAGAAAAAGAAGAAGGAGGGCAAGGGCGAGAAGAAGAAGAACGAGGCAGGGGCGAACTGCTATTAAGAGACATAATCAATTAATTGTAAACGTCAACAACATTCCCAAGTCCTAACCATTTGAAATGACCTTAAATTCAGCAATCAATAACAAGAAATAATTTGTAAAATACTCAACATACTGTAAATTCAAATCCATAGGACATGTAAAAAATAAATCAAGCAAAACAAATAAACAATGTTGTTGAAGAGAGAGGATTAACTTGCCATATCTTTGGTGGGAAAGAGGGAAGAGGAAGACGACGGGCGAGTGGCTACGGCTGTTGATTTTGAAGAGGGAGGTAATTAGGATGGAGTGAATCGTGTGATGGACCTGATGGTATCCTGCTATTGAAGAGGGAAGGGATTTGGGTTGTGCGTTGTGTTGGGTTGGGCATGTTGGACACTTGGCCTATTTGTAGTTTAATTTGAAATCAAATGTCTTTTTTTTTGCGGGTCAGGTTGGGTGGTTTTTTTCGGGTTTTATGGGTTAACCAGCAACCCGACCCACTTCGATTGTCCAGAAACCGAACCCACTAAAAAATGGAAAAAAAAAAAAAAAATCGACCCCACCCAGTTGGGTCGAGTCGGTCGGGTTCGGTCGATTTTTGCCTACCCCTACCTGCCTGTAACCACTCGTAAAAAATAAAATGTTGAGATCCTCATCGAAAATTGGGAGATCATCGTTCACATCCAAATGTTCTTTTACCCTCAGTCACGCATTCAAAATTTGGTGAATTTTCATTGTGTTGGAAAAAAATTGTAACAACAAGAGGTTCCAATTCTCTAATTAATTGTATTGAATTTGTAGTTAAAAAGCTATAATAGCAATTGTAACATAATTTGGTTTTAATAAATAATTAATTAAGGAAATTGAAACCTCTCACATCCAAATGGTATATAAGGAGGTGTTCTCCTCCGTTTTCCACATACAAAAAATTTGAGAGTTCTTTCTTCACTCTAAAATTCTCACCTGCCTTTTTTGTCAATAATCTTGTTCTTAGTACTCTAGATAATTTGTTTGTTCTAGTTTGATAATAAAATTATGAGCATTCTTAGTTCGTCTAAAGTAGTGACAATGTGTTAGTCGACTATTTTCAACCATTATATCTTAGGAGACAGACGCCATCAATCCTCTTGAACCATAGTGAGAGGCGAATTTATTTTAAGGAAATCGTGTGCAACACGGGCTTCGATTCCTTTCAATACCGCTATTACATCAACAACCATTTCCTCTATTTTTATTGTTACTCTATTTATTGTAATATTTCTTTTCATTATTTTATTTATATAATTCCAACAGTATTTCTAATTTCCTTTTTATATTGTTTCTAACGTCTTAAAATAGATTCGATTCAAAAAACCAAGAAGGTTATGGATTTCAAAGAAATATTATTAAGAAAATAATATTCTCTCACAAAATTTATAAAATCTTTAAAAATGAAAGTTACGATACATAGAAGTTCTGTCTAGAAGGCTGGATTTTCATGGGACCATTTGTGATCCCTTCAGCCAATCTGGGAACTGACCAATCTGGGAACTGAGTATTTTTAAGGAGGTTAGACTAGTTGAGACCGGGCTTAAATCCCTCTAATTATCTATAGGGTGTTTGAAAATAAACATATTTTTCATTCTGAAAATTAGAATATTTTCGAATTTTGACAAAATATGATAATTCTCAAACGGTTTTGGAAAAGAAACATATTTTTCATATTTTCGTGATTGAGAAAATAATAGGGATGTCAATTCGAACTGTTAAAACCGAAAACCATGGTTAACCGAATCGAATGGGGTGAAAAAATTGAACCAGTGGTGCAATGTGGTGGTTATGGTTTTGATTTTAATGACCCGATTCATGGTGGGACGGGTATGATATTTAGTGATGGTGCCCCCACCCTGAACCGATTACCCGTTAAAAAAATTTAATTGAATACAAGATGAAACTAGTGGAATACCATTTCCCTCTGATCTTTGGAGATGAAGCGCAAGTAGAGGTTGAAAATATTAGAGCATTTTGTCATAAGTTGTTCAAAGAGTACAAGAGACCACGTCATTCAACAGAAAATACATCTCAATCTTCATTATCTTCGCAATCAGAGTCGTCTACTATTGTTGGAAAGCATTCTCGCATGGCTGGTTTTGATACATTTGTTAGTCATTCTGTTACCGCTGATCATGTAAAAACAGAGTTTGATGTTTTTCTAGACGAGCCATATTGCCAAGGGTGGATGGTTTTGATTTATTAAAATGGTGGAAAGCAAGTTCAATAAAATATCCGACTTTCCAAAAGGTTGCTAGAGATTTATTAGGCATTCTAGTATCTACTGTGGCATCTGAGTCATGATTTCCATGATGGAAAGCAAGTTCAATAAAATATCCAACTTTACAAAAGGTTACTAGAGTTTATTAGTCATTTCAGTATCTACTGTGGCATCTGAGTCGTCGTTTAGTACAAGTGGTAGATTTGTGAGTCCATATAGAAATAGGCTTCACCTGAAGATTTTAGAAGCTTTATTGTGTGCTTGGGATTGCTTTTGAACTGATATTCATGGTATGATTTATTGTTTTATATTTGTTATTCATGCACTTCTTTTATTACTAATATTTTTCTCTATTGTGTGTAGAAAATTCTGCTCATTCATCATACTTTGGAACTTGTGCAAGGTTTAGTGAGGGGGACATTGACGAAAAGGTACATTTTTTTGTTTAAATCTTCAGTTAAAACCATTCTTAATTAGGTAGTATCATTATATTATTACTCTAATTACATTTTTTATTTACTACATAAGAATCAATTTTGAGTCTTGACCTATGCTACTATGAGTTGTGGGGGAAGAATGAAGATTGACATATGCTAGTAAGAGTCTTCACCTATTTTAATATTATTGTTTGTTAAATTCAAATTTTATATTTGGAAGTTAGGATATTGTTTGCATTTTTATTTGTGATATTGTTTGCTAAATTGGCTTAGTATTGTGTTTTTGTTTTTATCGACTTTTCTTCATAATGTTTTTTTCAATTTGACAGTTGGAGTTTCAACTTATAAAAAATAATTTAATTTTGTGGTTATTAATCAAATCGAACCAAAACCGAGATACAAACCAAACCGAACCGAACCGACTTACGTGGTTATGGACCTATGGTGCGGTTATGAAATAGCCAAAAAGTTGGTGGTACGGTTATAATATTGGCCGAACCGACCCAGAATTGAACCGTTGCCATTCCTAGAAAATAACATAATTTTGAATTGGTTTTTTTAAAGCAAAATCAAAGTGTAAAAATGGAATGGAATGAATAATAAACGCCCTAGTGGTCTTTTATATAGAAAGTGAAGGGGTGCGGTAGAAAGGCACGCCTCAAAACTCAACAATCTTAGCCAAGGGTCGCAACCTTTGATGTTGTTCGTTTATCACCTAAGCGTCGCTCGAGTGCCAAAAGCAGAGAGTTTGTCGCTCGCGTAGCACTGGCATGTCACTTGAGCGACAACTTCACATGCTGAATCCCAATTTTCTTTCAAACTTTGGACCACAATTTCTCATTCATCCGAAATTGATTTTTAGATTCCAAATATACTACGACGATCTACTTGACGAATAGAATAAATTAGTTTATTTACTTTCATAATTTGACTAACGGATCATTTTCGAATATTTTGTCAAAGTTGACATAAAGTCACTTTTCAAGTTTTATACTTAACTAAGGGTTCGTTTGATTGCTCCTTGGAAAATTGGGTAGAAAGAAAACGAATTACAGGGAAAATAATTGTTTAGAACTTGTTTTCTCTGGAAATATGAGTTAGTTGTATTTGAATAGTATAATTTTCCACATAAAAAATGTTGAGATTTTCCATCTTTTAGTGTTTGATTGCTTTTGTTTTCCATGAAAAATTATTATTTTTTCCATCTTTAACTGTTTGTAGACTTTGTTTCCCATGGAATTTTTTTTCCAACGATTGATGTAGATCAGTAATTTACATGTTTATGTTTTATAGTCACCTTAATCACATCGTGATTTAAGAAATTATTAAGGTTTTCTTGGAAGAGATTTTTTAAATTCTTTTTTCCTAATATAATAATCAACTATTATTATAAGCCAATAACTCTTTGAAAACTTCGATTTTCATTCTCTCAAAACTTATCACATCCCGAAAACTCTACCAATGTACAAAGTTCATTTACTTACAATTCCACAACAACTAGAGAAGTAAAAGAAAATTGCATTATGTAACAACTAAGATAAGAAAATGGACAAAACTAGATTTGAGTTATTAAGAGGCATCGACAGCAGGTTGGGTGACTCCAAACTTCACTAACAACTCACCCAAGGCCACTGGTGAGCAGACCTGATACTTCGCTTTTCCATTAGAAAGGAGAACCTCAGCCAATTCAAG